CCAGACCAAACAAAGTATTTAGCACATACTCACCCTGTATCATTGTGGGAACCTGCAAGCATCAGTCATCGTTCCACACCCTCCGGATCAAGTGTGCGATCCAGACCCTCCGGATCAGACAGCATAGGAATGTGCACTCTGGGCACGTGGTTTTGATCAGTAGCCATATCAATGTATGACCGACTGCTAAGCCAAGCAATCCTACCTTGGCATTGCACCCGCGCTGAGTACACTAAACTGCATGTAGCTCCGTTGCTTGACGTACAAGATCTCCTCATCTCTCTTACGGACCGATGGATGTAGTTGCACTGGCCTGCCCATGGTGAACAAGACTGGGCTCAGGAGCTGGTTCGCATCTACCGTTTGCGTGGGGATGATCTGGAGAAGGACCTTAAGCCCCAGCCTCATGCGGAGACCAGCTGTTACATGGATGTCCCCCATTGCCTGGTGGGGCGCTTTGGGGCTTGAAGGGTGGCAGGACACGCAGTGGCTAGAGATTTGGACTTTGCAACGTGCCCAGGGCCTCGCAGCAGCGAGTCACCGAATCTCAAGATCGCGAGTACCTCCGCAAGGTGGAATGCGACAGGCGGACGCTTATGGCTCTGATGGCTGCTGGCCCAAAGTGCATTGCTTGGCGTCTCGAGGCTTAAAGAGAAGCTGGCAAAGGAGCAGGCCGAGAGTGCGAGTCAAGTGAATTTTCAGAGGAGTCTACAGGGCCTGTACCGTACCTGTGTGACAGGATGTGGTTTTGGATCTGTCCGAGAAGGTGGAACTGATGTCATCTCAGATCAAAGAGAGCCAGGCAGCGTACGCCCTTAGTTCTGATCAAGCTGCCTCTCTTGGAGGTCATAGCAGCAACTAGAGACACTGATGGAAGAGATCAAGCTTGCCAGGTACAAAGAAGTCATTCAGCAAGAGGCAGTGCTCAAGGAAGAAGTACAAAGGTGTGAGACACAGCTATGCTGGCATCTGGCTGGCTCCTGCTGATGTAGTTGTCAGCTTCTGTGCCACTCTTTCAGGTACCAGGAGAAGCTGCAGGCGTGAGCCCGCATGCTCCAGGACTGGATGAGTCCGTGCATCTTGTGCGACAGGATGCCACTGAACGTGGCGACGTCTTGGAGAAAGGCTCTTCTCCGTAGCTGCATTCACAAGGAGCGTTTCGACAGATCCAGCCTCTGTGCTGTGAGGCTTAAAGGCTGTCGAAGGGGAGCGCGAGGCGGGGTCTGAAGCGTTAGGAATAGGGATTTGCGCCTTAAGCATCTAAGCTACACACAATCGCACAATCGCACACTCATTCCGCGCGAGAGCAGGGGAGCGTGATAGAAAAGCCATACGGGTCCTTGCCGGACCAATTTACCAAAGCATGCTGAAGACAGAACCGCCAGCAGGTCTACAAAGGACAAACCTCAGTGTTGTGGCCTGGCAGCAACATTGCTTTGTGGACTTCATTCGCAAGAATCCGGAAATCTGTGGGTTTCATCGGATGTTCATGTTGCATGGGTACAGCCAGTTTCAGATGAAACTCTGCTGACATCACCTTCTGCATTCAAGTTTGAAGCTTCTGAGCAAGCTTCCACGGCAGGAGCACTGCGGTTCTGCTTCCCAGCCTTCACAAGTGACCACTTGATTCACCAAAAGCCTCTCTGGCAACCGCGGCCTGAATTCCACTAAGCCTCGATGTGATGTCGCTTCCCCTACAAGGGTTTGTGTTTACATCATCCCGGATCACCATTGCCAGAAACAGCCAACAGGCAATAGGGCAGAAAAGCTTGACACAATTGCAGTGTTTTCCCAAGGAGAGAAGATCTCCTTGACAAGCAGACGAAGCCCCAACCTCAAATTGCGGCACGTGCCGCCTGAAGGGTGCATGTTTCAACTTCATACCAGGCTCCGCAGCACGCATAAAGACTTGTCGATGACAGCAGCCGCCTTAGCTTCGACCCAGACGTGAAGCAGGGCAACATATTTTCGTTCCACATCCAGCTAGGGAAGAATGCGATCTCCAAGACCTCTGCCAGGCAGTAGACCTCGAGAGCCTCAAGGTACGCTTTCTTCTGCAAATATTGGCAAAGATCCTTCCATCATCTTCCATCCGCTCTTGGAAGGAGTCGCACGAAGGCATGGCGGAGGACCTCAAGAAGTTCAGCTCTCGGTTTGAGCGCCCATCAGCCGCGAGCTAGCTCATAATTTGGGGCAATCTTGGTCAGTTGAGTTCCCTGCACTTCTACTTGGTAGCTCAGGTCTAAGAAGATGCACGCTGAAGCAGCACTGCGCGTGGAAACCTTGGAGAAGGCAGCCCCATTGGACTGGAGTCTCATTCTAGAGAGACCCAGACAAGTGGAAAGCATACCTGCCGCCAGATAGTGCTTTGAGCATGTGTGGGTGCCTAGCTGCTGTTAATGCTTTGTTTTCTTGTTGGTCGTTCGGAGAATAGCCGTATGCTCTGTCCGAGCATCGTCACGCTGCTCAGCTGGCAGGAGTGCCAGGAGATCAGGGCCCAACTTGAGGTCAAGGAGAAGCAAGCGGCCCCAAGCTCAGGGCAGCTGAGGACAAATTCTACAGCCAGCACAATGTGCGCATCGCTAGTTCCTGCAAGGCACGACTTGAGGTGGTTGTAGAGGAGCTGAACGTCAAGCACACAGCTTAGCCTGAGCATAGATTCTCGTCCAAAGGCATCCAAGCGAAGACCTGCGATGCCCTGCAGGCTGGAAGACGCCATCCTCGACTACACAGAGGAAAGGAAGCAAGCCAAGGACTTTGCTACTCGGCCTCAACAAAGCTTCCTGACTCTTGCCGAAGTGGGTGTGAGAAGCTTTGATGACTGCAAAGGCAGAGAAGCTCCACCAGAAGGACTCAAAGGTCAAGAAAATCGAAACTGAGGTCGGGGGATGGGGTTTAGGGGGGCTTATCCTATCGGCCAAAAGCTGGTGTGCCAGGCAACGTTCTCCAAGGACTCCGTCCAGCGCCTGTGTGGGGACATCAAGCAGTTCCAGGAGATCTCAACTCACAGTCAAGCTCACGCGTTCACCTTCTTATAGTCAGTGGTTTCGGGGCTTGTCAGCAGAATTGGTGACTTCCTTAGTCTCGGATTTGATTGTGTTGGCTTAGCACCGCTGCGGGTTGCTGCTTAGCCGGCTTGCCTCTGGAACCTCAGGAGAGGGAAGCGCAGCTCAAAGCTAAGATAGGAAGCCTCGAAGGAACCGTCTTGTGTGGCTCTAAATGGCAGCATGATATGTCTGCTGACTGGTGAGTGCCGCAAGAGTCCACATGCAGGCGACATAAACCAGTGGAAAGAACGACTCGAGGAGTCCCGTTCCGAGGCTATCTGGGAGCACCTGCTTCCGCTGCCTGCTTCAGCATCTGTGGCCTGAAAATCGTTTGCTGGGCATTTGCGAAAACGCTTTCGGCCTTGGAGGTTGCTGAGCTGAAAGACGTGAATTGGCGAATAGCAGAGGCCTGCTGGCGGCCTGCTCGTTCCCTGCCTGCGTGCCGCTTCGTGCTGCATGCGCTTCATGTCATGCTAAATCAGCAGGATTTGCAGAAATCGAAAGTCAGCCTCCGAGATGTTGAGGTTGGCCGCTCCGAGTTTGGATATGACCTGTGTTTTCTAGAGATGTTCTTCCTTTCGCTTCGGTGAGGCCATGGTCAAGAAGACGACCACAGAGCTGAAGTCTGGAAAAGGGCGAATGGCTGAGGCAGAGGCCGCCGGGACATGCAGATCTTTCCAGAATTGACGGAAAGTGACTCTGCTACACTACTGCAATTGGGGCCGGCCAAGTTAGGGCAGTGAGGCGAGGAACATTGAGCTCAGCGCGAATGTATCCAAGCTGATGGAGGCCCGGCCAAGTGATGTGCCGTCCATGCCCCTTGATGTGCAAGTGGAAATGGGACTTGCTAGTGCCGCAGTCGCTGCAGGCATTAGTCCAGGCCGAGGCCAGAGAAAAAGAGGCTCCGCCGTACTTTGCGATGTCTTGGGATGCTCGGTGGAAGTTGGAGAGGCTCTCGAGCAGCTGGCCGAAGGCAAAGGCGCACCACACGGTCTTGACGCACTGGCAGCGCTGGGAGACATCATCGCAAGAATTGCTGTGCAGGACCAGAGAAGGAACGCAGGAAAAAGAAGATGCAGCGATCTCGGACAACTGCTAGCCTCGAAGGCCGGGTCACCTTATCGGATCTCACTTTGAAGCCATCAATCAAGCCAAGCTTCTGGCAGGTGGACGGACTGCGGGTAGCTGATTGGCCACAACTTGAGCATCGTGCGCTGCCGTGGATGTACCGCATGCCGGGCAAAGCACTCGCCTGCTCAACGTGCAGTTTACATGCCGTCCCGTGAAGTTGTTTGCATCGCCAGTCTTGCTGACATGATATGTTGGCCAAGTCCCCCCAAGTACCAGAAGAACAGGCTTGATTGGCCGTGGATAGAATTTGACTGCTGGCTACCACAAACGTGGAGCCGGGAAGTGTTACTGAAGTAGCAGCGGCCATGTGTTGGCCAGAGCTGCGAAGGCTTGATCTGCCGAGAGGCGAAGAGAGCCCAGGCCCGTGGGGCCTTAGCGCGGCGGAGGCGCAGCAAGCGGCCTCCAGAGAGCTTCCATCATTTGGAATGTGACTGTTTGACTTGACATCGCTGTGAGAGCCTCTCTGGATGCTTTGCTCTCGTGGCCAGCCATCTGGCCATACGCAGCTCGCTGACTTGTGCAAATGAACGTGCTTGGAAGTGCAGGGCCTAACCTTTCACATGGCATACCATACCACCCAAATGGAAGCATAAGTATTGCAGCGGTGTGAGACATTGTCGTGGCACTTGTCTTTCATCTGGCCACCGCCGCAGCTCAGGCCCTTCAGCGTCTCTATGCCGTCGTGTCGGAGACAATTCTGTGTTGGCCTTGGCCATGTGTAGAAGCGAAAGGGATGAGTGAGCTGTTTTGGCAGCATCATCTGACCTGCAATCACCTATACAGCCACCATCACCCATCAAGCCAGATCGACCGGCTTTTCAAACCCTTGCATGATTAATCATTCTACGGAATAATGGACAAGGCCAGCCACTCCGCACCTTCCCTGTAGGCCCTAGTGCAGCAGTCGTCAGTTCCTCCTGTGCGTTTTGAGACATTTTGAGACCATTCAACGGAGCCGTAGCCAGCTTGCCACGCTGCTCCATAGAGAAGGGAAGGGCTGCGCATAGAGCGCAACACTAGCACTTACTACAGCATCGACCGTGGCACCCGTTAGAGGCAACGCTGCCAACCCTGTAAATCTTGAAGAGACATGACATGCATGCCTTGGAAGCCCCTCCAAACGCAATCAGTAGGACATCATTGTGCCACCTTTCCCCAGAAACCTGACAAGCAAACCGAGGCACGAGAAAATTGATGCTGCTACCGGCCCGCTCCCCCGAATGAACCTCAAAGTGCCAAAGACCGCACATTGCTCGGCTCCCCTCAGACAAGGCGAACGCACCTTGAAGTCAACATCGAACATCCGCGGCCAGATTCATGTTGATAAGCAGCCACATGCATGGTGAATCGTGTGTGGCGTTTTGCTACGAGTATTGCTGAAATTTGCTGAAGATGCCAGACTTCAGATGGTATTCCATGTGCAACAGCCTTCAGGCATCAAACTTGTTGGGCTACATCCTGAAACACCATTCTGGGCATTCCCTATTCTTGTTAACCAGCTACTCGTAGCAGTGCTCACTAATCAGAATATCATCCGCAGCCTGAGGCCTGACTTTCCACCGTTCCCAGAGGCAGGGAGTCATGCGCACATGGCAGCATGTTTTCGCTGGCTCATTTGGGTTACAACGTATGAAAAGCTATCTCGCCTGCCGGGTTCACACATGGGTTCTGATTGCTCATCCAGCTCTTAGAAGAAATGAAGGCAAACGCCGCTTGATGACTGGGTGGCTTGCTGGGATGATGTTTGGGTCGGCTTTCTTCATGTTCAGGGGGATCAGGCATATCCCATTTGGACACAACACGTCCCAATGAGATGCAGGCCCTTGCGCTTGGTAGGTGCTGCCTTCGCAATACGGTAAGGACTGATGTGCACCTGAAAACAAGAGGAGCGAGTTCATTTGAGATAAGTGAACAAGTCAAAGTGCCTGTGGGAGCCGAAAAGATTTCCTCAAGATGCGACTGACACGAGTCCTCGCACCGGATTGGTCGGCTGCAGCTGTGGCCGTGTGGAAAGCACTTGTTGATGAGGGACATGTTGTGGAAGATGCCACAGAATGCCACAGATGTGTCAGTTATGGTGTTGAAAAACGCGTCTTGCCTCCCACAGATATGCGGGCTTGCGTGGGATGGGGTTATATAGGGATAATGGAGAAGAACATGGAAACTACTACCCAATGATAGGGTATGTATTGGGGTCATAGTAGGGAATAAGGGAATGGATTATAGGGAGTACATGGGCATTGTCCGAAAACTCCTTGTAGAAGTTTTCATATAAAACGACCACGGCTGGCTTAGAAGGCCTTCCGCGAAAGGTCGCGATGGTGTTCCGGGCTTTGGATAAATTTGGATTTCGCGAAACCAGTATCGCAAGCCATAGTTCCTTACTCTCTTTAAATGCATTTCCCTTGATGCAGTGCGCAGGCATGCTTCGAGGCATGCTCAGAGGTGAAAGGGTTCCAAGTCTTTCTGAGGCACAGGCTCAGTCCCAGAATTCTTACCCGAAAATCCGCGAAAGATCCGCAAAAAGTCGGGTAAGCCGAGCAAGCCCCCAGCCTTGCAAGCCATGAGAGACGACATAGCTTCTGCGATTCGGTTTTGTAGTTAACTAAGGGCTTGGTTATGTTCTAACCCTACTTCACCTTCCCAGTATGCTTTGTCGTCTTACAGGCTCGGTTTTGCAGTTGAGGGCATGGGTCAAGGTTCTTTTGAGAGTTCAGGGTGTGGTTTCTGCTTCAAACATGCTTGCGCGAAAGCTCGCGATGGTGTTCGCGAAAGGAAAGTTGGATTTCCGCTAAGAGGTCATTCTGTCATGAGGTGTTTTTGGACAACCCCAACATAGGGATTATGTCCCATATTACCCCTGTAAACCCTGTTTCCATATGTCATTTTCCATGTTCTTTTCGATCTGACTGGCAACTAGTAAGTAACAGGGACCAGGGACGATTCTATAAAACAAGGGCCCTTCTTAGCCTTCTTAATGGACAAGAAAAGAGTTCGCTCTATTCCGCTCCAGATTTTGTAATTCTGAACCACTTCAATACTCTCCTAAAGACCTTAATAGTAGCTTCCATATTCCTTTCCATTATCCCCATATTACCTGATATGCTATATATTAGCAATGGAGTCAAACCTTAAGAAAGAATGGTAGTGCAGCCAAGCCTTTCGCGCCGGGTGTTCAGTTCAACTGTTGGCAACATGGCATGTATACTCATGCCCCGGAACCCGACGTCATGGATCGTTGCGAGTGCATTGCCAGCTACCGCACAAGAGAAACTGGCTGCAATGCAAGGATAGCACCAAAATAGGTGTCCCAGAGCATTGCGTGCATATTGCGCAGCAGCCACACTCGGCATTTGAGAGTTTGAGAGCTTTTCGGTGTGTCGGCTTTCTAGTTGGAAGAGAGGAGGTCTGCATTTCCAGACGCCAGTCAGCCATGGACAATGGACGGGGCGAACTGTGTAGATGTCGCCTCTGTTGTCATCGCCGCGGTGGTTGCATCTGATTGTGTTCTGGAATGTTCTGTATTTCCCGCCACGTACATCTGCCAAATCTGCGAATCATGCAAGGCTTTCAACGACATTTCTGTGATGACCTTTCCTGAGGGGTTGATGCGAGCTGCGGTAGCCCACTCGGACAAAAAGTGTGTCCGCTCTCTGTCCACTCGAAGAGAAGAAGCTAACATGGGACGACAAAGGCTTCGTGCGCGGCCTGTGTGGTCAGTGTAGTGGGGGATGTGGTGCCTTGGGTAAGCTTTGAGGCAAACTTTGAGAGATTCCCATGCCTTGGGTGCATGATCACTCTGTGATCACACGCCGCTGAGCACTGGCGACTTTTGAATTCTAAAGCTTATCGCAGTGACATTTGGCTTGGGGGCTCCGTGCTCGCAGGATTTGGGGTTGAAGCTTTGGGATTGCCTCTTGCTACAGCCTGAAGCTTACAGAGAAGCTCTTGGCTAAAGTATTGTCAAGATGCACCCGGGTTCAAAAGCAACATTGAAAGCGCAAAAGCGCATCAGCGGCAGGCAATACACATGTGAAATCCAACGGCATGGCATCAACTTCACTCCCTCAGGGTTTGCGCGGACACTGCGGGCACGCTCGCACGGATGGAGCTGGGCTTCATACTCCAGTTACGGCTTCAGCAGGCAGATAAATTGACAACACTATTCGGCGTTGCCAGACGTTAAAGGTACAGAGGAAAGTGCGCTGGGGAGGTAAAATGTAAAATGGAAGTCTTTTGCCAGATAGACTGCCTAGTCAGTATTCAGCACGCTGACGAGAAGAACACCAAAGGCTTCGCGAAGAAGGGAACACCCTGCATGAGCATCCGTAACGCGAAACAAGGCGAAGTATTTTCTGTCATGCACATACTTTCAGAAGGCGGCAGGGTTGGCACCCGGAAGAACCTCATCATGTGTTTCAAGATGCACCAGACAAGATGGTTCCAAATTTTGTGCAGACCCACAAACATCTTGTTCTGACGTACACATCATCTCAAACGAAGGACAACTCCCAAGGATTCTAGTGGAACATCCCAGGCTGACTCGAAATGAAATCTCCTCTGACGTTGCATTGCCCACCGGGTTCAGCACCAAACTTGGGAAAGGCAGTTGTATATGTAGATGTATGTGTACGTATTCGACGTCAACCTGCACCGCACCGAAGTTGGTCAATCTGGCAAACAGGGTGCAACGAGTGCTCCCGTCACTGGCAGCGGCTGGTAGCACCCAGCCACATTGGCAAATCCCATGTAAACGAAGTGTTCAGGACGTGGCCCCAGCCGAGAGCCAGCCATGCATCCAGACACTGCGACGAATATTGGTTCACTGGCTAACACCGCCCCCTGAGGACAAGGGAGACGCAAGATCTCAATCCCGTTGCCAAGTGCAACGATCCAGCATATCCAAGTCAAAAGCCTGCCCACGCACGGACGCAGAAGCAGATGATGGGGAAAACCCCAGCAAAACATCGTCGCTTGCAAGGACAAGGGAGATGCTGCGGCAAGATGGTGTAGAAGAGAGTGTCTAGCAAAAGGTGTAGCCGAGAAGGCTACAGCTCTGAAGAGCGGCAATGCAGAAGGCAACGCTGCGTACAATATCGGTCATTGGCATCGTTTTGGCTCAAATGCAGCACATGGCATTGAGGAATTCCCTCACAATATGTAAAGGTTTATGATAGACGGCCGACGACGAAGTTTCGAGAAAGCTGTGACAAGTTTGACCCAAGCAACGTGCAGAAATGTTGGGGGTAGTTTAGCGACCTCTTCCCCTCACAGCACACCCAAAAGCAAGACCGGATAACAGCAGTTGCAGCAAGTGCCATCAACCTTATTCCTGCTTTGCCACATCCGCTTGATGCCATGCCAGAAGCTTGGTTTCCGGGAGTGTGAATCCTTCGGCAGCCTCTTACTGCTGAGATTTGCTCAGATCCGCTCAGGCTGCGCCAATGGCTGCCGCCTTGCAAGGCTTGGCAGTGTTTCACAGCGCCTCGCCGTGCTTGGAATCTTCACATGCCTGGCCAAGTCCGCAGTCAAAGCTTGAATCCTTGAAACCGTGCCTAGTGTTGCACGTAGGTACATGGGGCCAAGTTTCAGATTCCAACTTGTCAGCGCAGCTTGGCTCAACCCAGCACAGGACAGCGGGCCTAGGAAGATTTTGACACAACTCATGGCTTCAATGACTGATAGCAAGCGCCCTCGCCGTTCTCGCAGCAGCGCGGCTGCAGCAGTGGCAGCCTCTCTCATTGGTGCGCTTGCCCTTGATGCCTTCGAGCTGGCCTTCAGTGCCCCGCAAACTCCTCCACGCGCAACGTTTGGGCAGCCTGCGCGGCGATTGAGTCATCCAGTGACCTCAGCAGCGGCCGCATCTCAGTCTGAAATGTCTGCGTCACAGGTGTATTTCACAGGAATTGGATGGTACCTGATGCACTTCGTGGTGAGCATCGGCAATGACGGCATCATGAAATTCTTGGGCGAAAACTTGCCACCCTTTCAGATCGTCTTTTTGCGCTTCGCAGCGGCTGCGCTGGTCTTGTTGCCAGTGCTGGCGATCCAGGGGAAGAGTGCATTCAAGTCCGCGCGGCTTTCCATGCATGCCGGCAGAGGGGCACTGCTTGCGCTTGGCATTGGCTTGTGGTGCTATGGGCTTAGCATCATGCCCTTTGCATCATGCGTCGTCATCAACAACACGATGCCGTTCTTCAAGATGTTGTTTGCGCAGCTCATCTTGGGGGAGAAGGTTGGTAAGCAGCGATGGTTAGCTAGCCTTGCAGGCTTCATAGGCTGCGTGATTGTTTTCAACCCGACGGCTGCAACCTTCAAACCGGAGTCTCTGGTGCTGCTGCTGTCTGCGTGCTGTTTTGCGATGCTCGACATCTTCAACAAGAAGTACACCACCTCAGAGACCGTCACCTCGATGCTGTTCTACGGCGCCTTAGCCACGGCTGCCATCTCGGCGGTGCGTGCCATTCCCGCCTGGGTTCCTGTCACAGGATCGCAGATGGCCTTGATTGGATGCCTGGGAGTCGGTGCAAACTTCCTGCTCTTCTGTCTGCTCCGTGCCTTCAAGTATGTGGATGCTTCCGCAACTTGCCCATATCGGTATACGGAGTTCGTGCTCTCTGCCATTGTGGGTTTCTTCTTGTTCAAGGAGATGCCATCGAAGTCGACCTTCTTCGGCTCCTGCATCATCCTGCCCTCCGTCATCTACACAGCACTTGTCGAGAGCAGAGAGGCGAACCAGGAGCAGAAGTCCGAGGATAAGGTGGAGGCCTGAGGCCTTGAGGCACTGAGGCACTCAGCGAAGCTTCACCCGGTGTAGGACTCGCCTGATAAAAAGCTCGCTAAGCTGCTCCTGCTCTGGAGCTACACGGCCGGGAAGAGGCCGATTTTCATATCCGCGGGAAGACTACCTGCGCTTCTCACCAAAGCTGTGCCTTCAGGCTTCCAGTGGTAGAGATGTAGGCCGTTTCATGATTCTTCTCACGAAGGTTTCACCTGACAGAGGGAGAGGATGGAAGAGGGCTGTATTCATAGGTCCAGGAAGAAAAGCTGCCAGGATGACTTGGGATAACTTGCCTGCGATCATTTTTGCTCAGCTTTGCGAAGCTTTGCGAAGGCAGCCTCCCGTGCCTGTCACCCAGGGCTGTGGAGGCCGAGGCAGCCAAGGCGTGCGTGTGGGGGAGCCTCTGTTGCGAGTACAAAGTCTAGGAAACTCCCAAGCAACAGCACCACCGCGTTGTGCCAGCGTGCTTTTGACTCTTAAGGCTTGGGAGCTTTGAATGTGTGACCTCAAATGGGCGCTCCAAGCCATGTTGAAGGGTCAGCTGACCGGTGTATGTGGCCATGTGCTTGTTCCTCCCGCTCATTTGCAAATCTTATGCTCCATGCATTCGTCTGTGTGGGAGGCCAGCGCTTTGGAGTACAATCCACCGATCCTTCTCTGATGCTGGTCCACAGAAGGAGGTGCAGTCCGAGACAAGGAAGCAGACGTCTTTCACTATCACTTCCCAAAGGTTCTAGAACCTTGGAAAGAGCGCCTCAACGAGCGCCCATTTCGTCTACAGGACATACCAGGCCACCATGATTCTGATCGTCTTCTTGCACAGCAACTTAGAATTCGTCTGATTTGTGAGGCCGAGGTCTTGGAGCAGTGGCCACCAAGGACTTGCAGCTACTCGGTGATGGAAGCTGCTTCTGCTTCTGCTTCTGCAGTCTGCAGTCTGCAGTCTCCCTGAACACTTTGTAATACTTTGTATTCCTGTTCCCAGGCCTGGAGATGTGGTGCTGCTAGAGCGCCCCATTTTAGCGGTACGAAGCGATGAGAAGGGCACGGGCCTTACAATTCAGTTTGTCTTGGGGAACGCAGCGCCCGCCGGAGAGAAGGGGAACCACCCTGTCATCCAGCTTCCCGCTTCCCGTGCCCAAAGCCGCCTCCTTCAGAAACAAGTCCACTATCCAGCGGAACCTGTTGGCTGGCGCAGCTGAATTCATGTGTGCATTTATCGCAACACTCGTGAGACCTTCCTTCGCCTTAGTGGATCCACCAATCACGCCCTAAGCTGAGGCGATGAGTGGAATCATGAGCTTCATAGTCAGTGCGCCATCACACTTCATGTTTTGCTCTCGTAAAAGGCAAGCTTATCATCTTCAGTTTTAGTGAGGTACAAGGCGCTTTCGGATGAGGGCCAATCTGAGGTGCCTGGGCTGACTTGAAGGCTCTGAAGGCTCCAGAGCTCTTGGCCAATCCTGCTAGCATCAGGTCTGGAAGCTGCATGACGCATGCCTCCAGAAGCCAGAGAAGTCCATGGCTCAGAGTGGCCTGTGCTTTATGTTTGCCTTGAAGCCATTTTGAGCTGTCAGCATCCTGACAGCCAGCCGAGCGCAGCTGGCAGTCAAGCGCTGCAGGTCTTTGGAGGGCATCCTTTTCACTAATTGCATCGGCCGAGATCAGACTGTGAGGCAGAGTTTGAAGTGGTAGACTAGCGCATAGAAAGACATGAAGAGGTGTGGAGTAGCTGCTGCAGGATCAGTTGCATGTCTGCTTTTAGCTGGCACGATCAACTGTTGCACTGCGAACGTCAGGTTTGATGCGGCGGTTTGCTTGGAGTTGAGTCGCTTCAACCATGGCTGCTGCGCAGCCCTGAGATTGAGCGTTTTGTCTATATCTCTCTGTGATGGACCACGAAAGGCCCCAACTTGGAGCAGAGCTGGGATGAAGATGCTGGGCATGTGGTCTGCTCAGCTGTTGCCAGGTGAAGATAATTTGGCAGCCCTGAAGCCTTTTACTGCCAGGCCCGGTTGGTTGCGGCGCATCCGGTTAAAGCCGGTGAGGAGCTCTTCACACACTACGCAGGGCACCCGGCTACCTCCAGCTACGGCTTGATCACCTTGATGGAAGAGATTCCCGAGATTTTCACTGCTAGGGGGGGTCGAAGTACTCTTGCCTGAGTCCAGTGAGGTGGAATTGAGGCTTCCGCGGGAGGAAAGGCGCCAACGACTTCATGAGTCTTATGGCTTCTGGCAGCTGCCTCAGACGTCGACCTTGCTCTCTTCTGCACAATCCCTGTGCCAGAGTAGTGATTCCTTGCAAGGATCATGGTTTGGGGCTGTATGAGACTCCCGATTTGGAGAGAATGCCGACAGGCATGTCTTCAGGCATGTTTTGGATGCCAAGGTGTACGTGTCCAACATGTTCGCAGTCTGACTTTGCGGAGAGCGACAAACGACGGCAGGGATCATTATCAGTTCTGCACCCGTGCATCTCGGGGCATGTAGTCGTGTCGTGATCAGGACTGAAATGCGCCGTCTGGAGCTGAGAGGGCTTGCGCAGCAAGAGACCACCAACAACACCAGGACCGGCACCAGCACCGACACCTACACAGCCGCTGCCGCCGCCGCCGCTGCGGCTGCCGCCACAACTACCAACACCAAGCCAACAGCGCCACTAACGCCACCAGCATCACTAACTGCAACCACAGCGCTGCCACCACCACCGCCGCTGCCGCCAGCAGCAGCAGTACCAACACCTCCTCGTCCACCACGACCACCTCACGGACCAGCAGAAGCAGCAGCAGCAGCGGCGGCACCGCCGCGCTCGCCCTCGCCGCCACCACCACCGCCGCCGCCGCCGCCACCACCACCACCACCACCACCGCCACCATGGCCAGCAGCAACAGGAGCATAGAAGCATCTTCAAGGCTACAATCAAGTGACCTAATCTTCAGGTCACGCAAGCCGTAAACCACACCTATACCTCAAGCCCTAAACCCTAAATCCTAAGCGCTGAGCCTTAAAAACCCTAAACCTTCCACTCTAACTCCTAGTCCCGTAAGCCCTCAATGCTGGTAAGCATTGATTGGGATGGTATTTGCAACTTACCTAGACAATGCCCATGATAATGGCCTCTTTCCCCGAAAATGAGTATGAAAGCTGTTCCTGCGGGTTTTTGGGGTGCCTGAGTAAACCATGAGGCCTACAACAATGCGTGTTTTCTCCATCCCCAGCAGCAACACCACGACCACCACGGACAGCAGCACCGACGACGGCGACCACCATGACACGACGACGACCACCATGACACGACGACGACATACGACCACCACCATGACACAATGACCGACCACTACCACTACTGTACCGCGACCACAACAGCCACTACGATCACAACGACAGCGAGGAAGACGACGAGGACAACGACAAGGACAACGGCTATCGAGAAGGGACCTCCGCGAGGGTGATCGTGGACGTTGGTGGTACATGGGCCTGGAAGGCTTCAGGCTCATTTGTCATCAAGAGTCTGTGTGTTTGGTGCAAAGGTTGCTGCTGCTTTGCTTCCTCATTCTGGCATGACGAAGGGTAGCAGCACTTGGTTTGTTGACCCGGTCAGGCCCTCCTCCGGGGTTCGTTGCCACCAAGACTCTGTGGTTTGACGGGTACAAGCAAGGCTACCTGCGATGCGCAGTCAGGGAGTCTTCCTTCGGTGTAGCAGTGTAGTGTTGGGTCATAAACAACTTGGTATTCGACTTAGCCATTCCGATGCGTGCTACGAGCTGCCTGCCAGAACGTGGTCTTTGAGGTGGTTGCCCAAAATGGCCACCCGCACTGACGCCAACATCTTGCTTTTCTCTATGGGCTTCGTTGAGACTGACATGGTGGACAAGTTCACCTGTAGGCAGGGCTCTGCGTGGGCTTTTCGTGCCAAGCGTGAGGATGGCCTTGAGATTGTCCAAAGGTGTTGTGATGCAGGTGATGGTGTTGTGGATGTTCAGGCAATTTTTTGAATCCAGAATCCAAGAGACGGGGTCGAGCCCTTTCTGGAACAGACCCCTGCCTCTGAGCGCAAGATCTTGCATCGTGCCCGCTTGGGACGATCGCCAGGGCTGTGGTGATGCTCATGGCCAAAGTAGCGATGATTGGACTGGGTGATCCCTGCCTTGTTGCCATGGGCACCGAGGAGAAGACGGAAGATGATGTTGCTGCGGATCCTGAGTCCAGGCAAGATGCGCCCCATGGTGAGGCGGTTCTGGCCAATGTATCCTCGGGAGATACCCTGGCAAGGTCCGCTGGTGCTATGCGACGAGGAGAGAATTCTCGTAGGACAAGGCCGGCCTGACGTTCGGGGTAAGTGTCAAAAGGAAGATGCAACATTTGCTGATTTCATCACTGAAGCTTCCATTTCCGGAGCACGCGTGGGGGCATTGGAGTTACTCCCCTTTTGCTCTGCTGAGAATGTACATGCGTCGGTTGGCTCATCATCCGGCAAATCTACCCAGTCAACGCTGCGAGGGCTCATAGTGGCATCTTGTTGTGGTATCATTCAGCTCACTTCGAGTATTATGCTGAATGTCGTTGAAGCTGAGTGGCGCGCAAAGGATGAGGCGGGAGGTCTTAAACCACCCGCTTGCGTGGAGGCGTCAGACGCTCATTGTCTGACTTGGCGTCGTCGGCTGGCTCAGGGTCCCTTATAAATATTTTTCGCTAGGGCAGAGCCGGAAAGCAAGCAGGCAGGCCAGCAAGCAAGCAGCGCGTCGTTGTCATCATATTTTCTCATTCTCATAAGCTTTCAAATTGTCACCGCGTTTCATCAAATTTGATCAAGTTCTTTAAGACCGCTATCTTAAATTTCATCATGCTTCATCATCTTCGCCATATTCACCATATTCATCTTTTTTCATTTTCATCAGATTTCATCAGATTTCATCATTTCGTCATGTTTCATTAATTTGTTCATATCTTAAGGACAACCTTTGAAGTTTCATTGTATTCTGTCTTTTCTTGTCCTGTTTCTTCATAACTCATCATGTTTCAGCATGGCTCATCATGAATCAGCTTGGTTCATCAAGTTTGATTGTTTCTCGGCAGCTTGCATCACCTTCATCAGCTTCGTCATCTTTCATGGCGCATATCACTGTATTTTGTCACTTTGAGGAACAGATGTCATCAATTCATCATTTCAACAATATTGCCCACCCTTTATCGGAATGCATATTTGACAGCAAGTGTCATGCTTTCTTTCTTTTTTTTTAATATAGTTTTGCGCCAATTTAAATCATCTTTTACTGTGTCGTTTCATCAGTTTTCCTCACATTTACCATGCTCATGAGTTTTCATTGCTTTCCGAAGCTACCAGGGCAGCATATGTTGATTGTTCCGTTCTTGGTCTGATTAGTATTGACTCTTGACGCTGCCAGATCAAAAACGTCGGAAGAGCACGTGCTCAAATATTCGTCTAGTTTTGCAAAGGTTCCCCCTCCACCCCCGCCGCCCAATCTATCTGTCCGCCCCGCTGCTGTGTTGTGATAAAAAAAAGCATGCGCGCAAGCATCTGTTGTCATATTTCATGGTTTGTTTCACCATGTGTCCACGAAATGGATTGCTTGTCAACATTTTCCGTCATGTTTCGCGCAAGTGCATTATTTCTGATAGTATCTCATCACTTTCTAGTATGAGCGCAATTCTTCATCATTTTGTCATGATGTTTGATCGTCTTTCATCATGCCTCACTTTGCCACAAACGTCATTACATTGTCGTCATGTCTCCAGCGCATGTCGTCATATTTCGTCATCTTCATATTTCGTTCTTTTACATTAGTGGCTCATCACAATTGTTTCTCATCATAGCTCACGTTTCATCGTTTTCCATAATTTGTCGTCCAATTCGCGAGAACTGAAACCCTTGCAGCAGTTTCATGATTTTAAATAGTGGCGTGTTTCATTGATTTCTACGGATGTTCATCATTTTCTTTGTTCGGCGTTTTTCATTACTTGCATACCTTCCATCATAGTTCATAATTTTTGTCTTTTCGTATTTTTTTGTTATTTTCATGGTTTTCTATCATGTTGCGTGATGCTTCATCATCTCCATTTTTCTGGTCTGCATGATTTTGCCTCAATTTTTTGTTTTCCATTATTTATTATCATTCCCTGGTTTTTCATGATTTCAAATTTTTGTTGCTTATACAGTTCCTTCAACTCATCAGTATTTGTTTCATCGTCTTCCATGATTTTGCACCGTTTTCAGAATTTGCAAAATCTTGTTTATGATTTTTCGTTTTGTTACAAGTTCATCATGTCCATTATTTTTATGATCTTCATTGTTGTCGATCATATAAACCTTTTCTCGCGATTTTCCATTTTCATGATTTCTCAGAAGTTTTCATTACTTTCAAATATTACGACAATAGTCATGATTTTTCATCGTTTTCATCAGTCTCCATAGTTTCCAGCAATTTCAATGCTTTTTACATGATTTTCCATCATGTTTCATGATTTCCTCAATTAATTACCATAATAGTATAGTCTACAGAACAGAGAACAGAACAAAAAAAGGAAAAGATTCCGGAAAAAAAAACCACGGAAAAAACGTTGCGACCAAACTCCCTGGATCACCGGCCCGGCCCGATCCTTGACTTCCAGCATGCATGTGGTAGGTCTGCTTTGCGGGATGCTATTTCTGTGGCTTGGAAGCGGCTTGGAAGTAGCCTTCTTCTGCTGCTGCTGGTTGTCCCATCCCTTGCCGTAAGACCCCTGGTTCACCTGCCGGGCCAGAACCGGGTCCTGACCTAGACTGTGTCCCCTCAGGTGCGCGCCTTACACTCCGGTAGGGCCTCTGACTTTGTGGGAGTGGCTCAGCCTTTGCGGCGAGCTCTTGATGATTTTGCTTCGGAAGCTTTTGATCATCCTGCAGTGCGTGAGACAGGTGCCCTCAGCGCCTTTATATCTGTGCCATTTGTCCCGTGCACTACGGGCTCATGTGCTGGGATTGAATCCGGTCATCGTGGATGCCCTCGACCTGGTGTTTGGCTCCCGCCGACTTTCCGAATGGTTTCCTCGGACTCGGGTATGGGTTTGATGTTGCCGGAGCGTCGGGAGCTTAAGCCTGCACGCTGCTGCATCCGAGGAAAATCCAAGCCGTGGCGCTCCCTTGCTGCCTATTCTGCGCGTGGAGACTTCTTGAAAGCGAGCAGCCCTGCTCTGAGTGAAGGCGGGTGTGATGAGCTCAGATCTTCTTCTCGGGTACACTTGGCTGAACCTCCTCAGGTTCTTGCTCCTAGGGGTGATCTTGTGAGGTCCTCGACGATGAGCACGAGAACTGGGACGACGGCGAGGATGAGGACGACGACGAGGGGAGAACAACCAGGACGATGCGACGACGACAACAACAGCAATCCCTGCCGCGACAATCTTTGCCGCGGCGGCCACCGCTACCACCACAACAATGAGCGCGACGAGGAGGACGAGGACGCGAGGTAACAGGAGGAGGACGACAGCGAGGGCGAGGGCGACGGCCATGGCGACGGCGACGGTGACGACGGCACCAACAACAGCAGCAGCGGCGAAGAGCAGCAGAGGCAGCAACAACAACAACAACAACAGCTGTTAGTATTTTTATGTATTTTTGCAGCAACTGTTGGTGTTGCTGCTATTTGCTTACTACTACTATTACTGCTTCTGCTGCTGCTACAGCTGCTACTACTATTGCTACTACTATTGCTACTACTATTGCTGTGATTGTATTCCTTTTATGCCACCATGTCCCGGCTTACAAATGTCATCTTTGAGTTAGCTTGTGCTCGTGGGTACTGTTCACTATGCACATCTAGGCACTAGCTGATCAACAAGGTGTGTGTGTGTGTGCGTGGACCAAAGACGTCTGCAATGTGTGCAGAGCGCAAAAGAGCAGTCAAATCAATTTTCACCATGCATCGCAAGATCAGGCTCCCTGCTCGAATCATTTCAGACTGTTGCTATTTCTACTCCGAAATCTCCTACTACTGCTGCTACTACTGGTGGCCCGTGACGGGAGCTACTGGTGGTAGAGCATCTCAGACTTCGTATGGCCAAGGTCTGGACGCAAATCTTCGGAAGGACCAGGTGAGCAACCTGGAACGCGGTGAGAGGGCTTCAGCCCCGGAGCCGAGCAGTAGAGAAAAGTTGCTATCATACGGTGGATACTAAAGATCCTGCATGACCCTAAGTATCCTATATAATGGGAATTATGGTACTATAGTATATTAAGGTCATGCAGGATTTTTAGTATCAACAGTATTTCGTGCCCTTCATGAAGATCCAGCTTCTGATTGTGTGCGCGTGATTACAATTGGAGCCGCGCTTCTCAGCTTGTGAAGAAGCTTCTCAAACTGTACGACCAGGACCGGGATGTTTCCTTGGAGCTGTCCTTCATGATGTTAAGAGGGCACTCTTTGTGTCAAACTGGCAAGTTCTTTTTGTCAGGAAGGGTTGGGAATGTTCAGCTGGCGAAAGATGACGCGCACTTGGGTCAAGGTGAAGACACAAGCAGCGCCTCCGAATCGGCACAGAAGCATCGCATGAGGCACTGCCTTTCGGGCATGGAGTGTGCGCTACGGCGGGGTGCGAAACCCTGCAAGCGCAAAAACTTGCTTTGTTGGAGCGATGAACTGCAAAGGCGACCTTCCTGTTGCTATTCAATGGGCGCGCAAAGCTCATGAGCACGCAAGGCAAGCTGGGCCGCAGAATGTCGCAGGATGCGAAGTTGTTTTTTTTGCAGTGTGACGCCGCAGTGAGGCTGGCCCATGGTCCAGAGCATCGTGATACGCGGTGGTGTGCAGAGTTGATGAAGGACGGGCAGAGCCAGGATCTACGGTTCCAGGTCTGGCTTATGCGATGCGATGGTAGAAGGGCAGTGTCTAACTAACTACCGTTTGGGCGAATAAGGACCCGTCCAGTCATCCCGCATTTGAGTACCGAAGTCAGAATGCTAGGGCCCCAGACCAGTGTTTGCCTCGCACAGGCTACGGGGATCATGTCTCAGAATCATGCCCTATCATGCCTGTGGCTCAAGGTGAAGAACTGGGCGACGTATGTCCTCGTTCTGACGCTCGTGTTGGCGCGGGCCTCATGCGGCTTGAGATTGTGCAAAAATTGTAGAAATCTCATGTTACAGGGCTTATCAGCAGAGCCTTTCTGCATTTGATGGAAGCCTTATGAGCAAACTTCTCTGCCAGGTTGTCTACACCTTTATGTACGACTGAAGCCACGCTGCCTCCTTTGCTAATGTCACGCGGAGCTGAAATTCCTCTTCGAGTTCTCCTCCAGCTCACTCTTGCTTACTCTTTTGCCAAACTCAACTCAGACCTCGCATTTCAGCTTCGCTGCAAGCCAGAAGTTTTTCTGCCTGGACTCAGAAGGGCACGGCTGGCCTGCAAAAGTGCCCGCGGCGGGTTTAGGGGTGGAAGCGCAACTGTAGAAACTTCTGCGATTGTTGACAGCTTCTGACAGTTAGATGGCAGCTAGATCGAAATCAACACGATTGCTTCCCACCATTGAGCCTGGCTTCCTCCTTCTGTGTAAAAGTTGTGCATCAGAGGCAGGACAGGCTTTTCTTGGTCACGTGCGCGTCTCTTTCCTGCCCTGCTAGTATCGCCGGCGTCACTGAAAAGGAGGAGGACATCGGGGCGCAGCGGCAGTAGACCCTAGCCTCGCAGGCATTCGCAGGCCTTTGAGGTCATTCATCCGTATGCTGACGTCCTCGCGAGCCCGAGGCAGGGGATCACGCTACCCTTTAAGCCTAGGGGAATGCTTGGCTTGCCCACCCTGTCAGGTCCTTTCAACTTCATGGACTCGTGCCTCTTTGCTGGAGGCGGGGTTGGAGTGTGGGGTCGCACCCCAAAACCATGTGCCAGGAGCTGGCTTGCAGAATGCACTGGCGCATGTGTTATGTTATGTGGGAAGTCTAAAAGAAAGGAGATTGTCAGGGAGGGATTGGGCGCCCACGGGGATTCTAGCCTAGCTGGTCGAGGCGCGCATCTAACACTCGTCTGATGCTCTGCTGATGCTCGTCTGATGTTGATGATAGTCCGCTTCCGCTGCTGCTCAGCCGGCGTTGGTAGCTGCTGATTCTCATCCGCTCAGAGAGCGGGAAGCTGACCGATGCCCAATGGCTCTGCTCATGCTCATGTGGCTCCGATGCCGCGAATGCCAGGGCCGCCAAGTCCATTAAATGGGTGTAAGCTTGACGAAATTGAAAACCCTTGACGCATGGGCTCTAAGACCTTGGGACTGTGGGACCACTGTGGGCACATGAGTGGGCAGACTTGCCACAGAGGATCCACATCCAAATGGGGTTAGCCGTTTTCAACATTGGGGCAAGCTGGGTGCTTGCAGTGTCTTGCCCGCGCACTTGCTGTTCGGTACTCAGCTAGGTTAGGCCAGTATTGTTGTTTGCATGCGCAACGATGACGCCTGTCTCAAAAAATGGCGTGGGATGATGCACTCGTGCCGCATAAACTCTCGGATCAGAACTGCTTTGAGTTTAGCTGATGACCATGGCAAGAGTGTCGCGCAGCCATGGAAGGGGCCGTGCTTGGGTTGCTGCCATTGCCGTGGCTGCGGCTCTCAGCCTCGAACTGCTCAAGGCCTCTGAAGGCTTTGTTCTGGGCCGCCGAGCTGCGCTGGGTGCAGCCTCGCTTCTGCCTATTCTGTCGACAAAGGTTCCCGCAGCCTGGGCTGAGACAGAAGGCCTCCAGCTGAAAAGCATCAAAGAACTGGCAGCCGAATCAAAGAAGCTGGATGACGCCTTGAGGCTTTGCATTCCCGGTCGGGTGAGGGAGCAGATAAAAGCCACGCTGCAGATCCTAAATAGCTGAGCAATGTCCATGATGTGCAGCCTCCATTTTCTAGCTTCTGGCAGGTCCGGTCGCCCGGTGGTCGTTGACTTCTCCGCTGCATGGTGTGGTGACTGCAAAGCGATGGCACCCAAGCTGCAGAAAATCCGCCAGGAGATGGCGGGCAAGGATGTGGAGTTCATCACTCTAGACGTTTCCTTTGCGGGACCAGGACTCTTGGTTCTCAGCTTTTCCTAGGTTGTTAAAATGCTCTCGTACTTCCTGCCTTCCTGCATCTCCCACTGCACATGAGGACAGGACATGCAGTTCATGTTTCCGTACGACAGGGATACGGACAAGTGGGCTCGGAGGTTTAAAGTGGACGGCCTTCCCCATGTAGCTTTGGTGGATTCTTCGCACAGGGTGCAAACTGCCTTGGTGGGAGACGTCCCTTATGACATCATGCAGGCTGACGTGGAGGCCTTGCGGAAAGGAAAAGAGCTGCCTTACGTCATGTATGACGCTTTCAAGAACAGGGCCAGCAATGATATCCTGGCGAACTGAAATGCTAGCTTGTCTTGATTGGTCAAGCGCCGACTGGCTGAGCCTGATACTGATAATGCACTTGCAGTGATGATGCTTGTCGCTGCCCTTAGACTGATATTTTCCGCTTTCCAAAGCGATGAGCACGGGCCTGTCGTGCAGTGGTCAGCACGCGCAGCGCATAAAAGTGTTCCTCTTGATGCTCACAAGCTTTTTGCTGGGCATTTCGGGGTCCCTGCGACTGTCAGGTTTGGAGCAGAAGAGCTTCGCATCAGTCCGCCAGTGAAAGAATGGCTGCTGAATCTGCCAGGCCGGACGCATGAAGTCAATCGACTTGCTGCCTGTAAGCCTAAAAGACATCAACCTCTTTGATCTGTTTGTTGCGATCCCCTCAGAGGCATTGATGCCGAGATCGGTACGGCTGCGGCTTTGCAACAGAGGCGGCACAAAGGCGCAGGGCAAGCCTGGAATCATGTTGGTGCCATGCAGGCTGGAGTCCTTGGCCGAGGTCGCCGCCGCAGTGCACTCTGAAAGGTCGTGGCAGAAGGTTCGTTTGTTGGCTCTGGTCAAACCATGGGCAAAGCAGGAGGGGAGACCGGGTCGTTGTCAGGCAGTCTGGGGGAAAAATAGTGAAGACAGTGACGTGTTGCCTGATCTCGGTCGCGCAGGTCCAACCTCTATCCCTCGGTGCGGAATCGATTCAGCTAGAGCTTGACGGCAAAGATGTGGAAGTGCCAGCTGCGCAGATTGAGTTGGCGAGGTGGCTAGCCGGCCAGGGCCCCATCAACCTCTGAAAGCCGGAAGCCGCAAAGGCACTTTGCAAAGGCACCCTGCTGGCAGGTCCTGAGGCGACCCCGCAGCTGGCTGAGCCCTTTCCTTAAAGCTGTGCACCTTGAATGATGAGGGTACCGATTTTGAAGCAAGCGTTCTGGTGCCTGGAGGTTGGCCCGCAAGCTGCTGCAAGACGGCTCCTTGCTGCAGAAGCTTCGATTCTTGCCTGCACAGGCGTGGACAAGTGTCATTTACCACTGATTTACTCCTTTTGTGACCCTGCCTGCTCATGCGACCCTGGCGAAGGCTTGGCTGCTCGCAGCGACCTCAGAATCCAACGTTGCACAACTCAGCCCAGATCTAGTGGCGCCATCGTCAGCTGCTCTGCTCTGCATAGACTTCAAGGCTCAAGAGAGCAAGGTCGCTCTTGGAAAACGTTCAGAGCCA